GTCACGTTCAGTTTAGCGAGCAGCAAAATGATTAATATGCTGGTTTTTGTTATAAATTTGATAAAATTATAAATATGCATGTAATCTACGAAAGAGCTATTAGGCTGGATACTTTATTAGCTGTAGCCAATATAATGTACTCATAAAGTATCTATCTATCTATCCGTCCGTCCGTCCATCCATCCATCCATCCATCCATCTATCGTCTGTCTGTCTGTCTGTCTGTCTGTCTGTCTGTCTGTCTGTCTGTCTATCTATCGTCTGTCTATCTATCTATCTATCTATCTATCTATCTATCTATCTATCTATCTATCTATCTATCTATCTATCTATCTATCTATCTATCGTCTGTGTGTCTGTCTGTCTGTCTGTCTGTCTATCTATCTAGCTATCTATCTATCTGTCTGTCTATCTATCATTGTCTGTCTCTCTGTCTGTCTGTCTATCTATCTATCTGTCTGTCTCTCTATCTATCTATCTATCTATCTATCCATCTATCTATCTATCTATCGTCTGTCTGTCTGTCTGTCTATCTATCTAGCTATCTATCTATCTGTCTGTCTATCTATCTATCTGTCTGTCTCTCTATCTATCTATCTATCTATCTATCCATCTATCTATCTATCTATCGTCTGTCTGTCTGTCTGTCTATCTATCTAGCTATCTATCTATCTGTCTGTCTATCTATCTATCTGTCTGTCTCTCTATCTATCTATCTATCTATCTATCCATCTATCTATCTATCTATCGTCTGTCTGTCTGTCTGTCTATCTATCTAGCTATCTATCTATCTGTCTGTCTATCTATCTATCTGTCTGTCTCTCTATCTATCTATCTATCTATCTATCCATCTATCTATCTATCTATCGTCTGTCTGTCTGTCTGTCTATCTATCTAGCTATCTATCTATCTGTCTGTCTATCTATCTATCTGTCTGTCTCTCTATCTATCTATCTATCTATCTATCCATCTATCTATCTATCTATCGTCTGTCTGTCTGTCTGTCTGTCTATCTATCATCGTCTGTCTCTCTGTCTGTCTGTCCATCTATCTATCTATCTATCTATCTATCTATCTATCTATCTATCTATCTATCTATCTATCTATCTATCTATCTATCGTCTGTCTGTCTGTCTGTTTATCTATCTATCTATCTTTCTATCGTCTGTCTGTCTGTCTATCTATCTATCTATCTATCTATCTATTGTCTGTATGTCTGTCTGCCTGTCTATCTTCTGTCTGCCTGTCTATCTGTCTGTCTATCTATCTATCTATCTATCTATCTATCTATCTATCTATCTATCTATCTATCTATCTATCTATCTATCTATCTATCTATCGATCGTCTGTCTGTCTGTCTGTCTATCTATCTATCTATCGTCTGTAAGTCTATCTGTCTATCTATCTATCTATCTATCTATCTATCTATCTATCTATCGTCTGTCTGTCTGTCTGTCTATCTATCTATCTATCGTCTGTAAGTCTATCTGTCTATCTATCTATCTATCTATCTATCTATCTATCTATCTATCTATCTATCTATCTATCGTCTGTCTGTCTTCCATCTATCCATCTATCTATCTATCTATCTATCTATCTATCTATCTATCTATCTATCTATCTATCTATCTATCTATCTATCTATCTATCGTCTGTGTGTCTGTCTGTCTGTCTGTCTGTCTGTCTATCTATCTAGCTATCTATCGTCTGTCTGTCTATCTATCATTGTCTGTCTCTCTGTCTGTCCTCTGTCTGTCTGTCTATCTATCTATCTGTCTGTCTATCATCGTCTGTCTGTCCTCTGTCTATCTATCTATCTATCTATCTATCTATCTATCTATCTATCTATCTATAATCTGTCTGTCTATCTATATACATTTAAATTATTGTATACTATTATGATTCAATTATAGTATACTGTATATACATATAGTCTACATATACACAGAGTTTCACTCACAATCTTTAGCAATTTAGGCACCCGTAAACATACAAAATTGACCAACATCTAAAAAAAAAAAATTTCACAAAATAATTTAAAGCAGTGCAAAAATGTTATTACAGTTAAAGTGTAGCTGTTAACCCTTCGTTTACCCCGCACATGAATGTAAAATCATACGGTTGATGTTTACCTGCCTGCTCGCTGTGAAAAAAAAAGCACTTTATTCAAGTTAGAGACATCACATAGTCTTCAGATATTATGAAATGAACATGGATCTAGATCAGGAGCAAACATCAGTCCTGATATCACCTCCAAACTGCACATCTGAGTCGGAAAAGTAAATTTGATGAACTATTGCTAACGTTTGTGTCACGTCAGTGTTGGTATTCGCGTGGACCGCTGGAGATGAGATCAGGACTGAAAGGAAAGCAGCGTCACGTTTACCCAGCGTCCTCATTAGCGTGAATCGTGTGGCCCGAGTGCAACCCGACACCTGTCTGACTCCCAACACTGACATTAAACACACACGTGAAACACACACACACACACACACTGACACAGAATGAAAGAAGAGGAGGAGGAGGACAGCCCGTCCCGTTTGAGCTCGTCTGGAGTCATTAGTTAGTGGTTAGGTTAAGGTTAGTTGTGTTTTATAGTGATGTCTTACCTCGGATGGGAGTACTCTCTGGAAAAAGACACAAAACGAAACACACATCAGTTTAGTTGATGGTTAATGTCAGCCCAGGTTATGATTCTCCTCATGTACTGGTTAGTTTAGTTTAAGATCATCATCATCATCATCATCATCATCACAACTTTAGTAAAGGTTAAAGACCTTCCAGTGCTGGACGTGGAGCTTCTTCTTTCTTTTCCTATTTCTACTTCCTAAATGCTTACAAACAATTTGATCAGACTGTAAAAGTTTAATGACGCTAAAGAAAATAATAATAAAAAAAGAAGTTATTAAATTAAGTAGTTGACCATAATTACAATATAATAATAATAATAATATTTTCTTCTTAAATATTTAAAGGCAGTAATTATTTATAAATAGAATAAATTGATGCATTATAAATATCAATATAAATAAATTAATAAATAATAGAAAATAAGTATAAAAATGTAAAATAATAAAATTATGAATTCATATTAATGTTCACATTATTAAATGTATTTTTTTTATTATTATTAGATTTTAAATTTTTTTTGCTAGGCTGCTCGGCAAAGAAAAAGAGTATTTCTATAATAATAGATGTATTAAATCATATATTATATAAAAATCTATTAATTAATAATATTAATCATACAAATAATATAAAATTATATAAATAGTATAATATAAAAATTATATAAATAATATAAATATTTAAATACTCAATTTTAAAATAGTTATTAATATATCATTTTATATTTTTATTATATTATTATATA